TTGTGTGAATTAGGTTTTCCTAACAGACCAGCTCTTACAACACTCTGTGCTCTCTACCCGCTTTACACTCATTGAGTTGCTGCCAAATGTGGTGGTCAAAGCCACGGTGGTGAGAGCAGTCCTCCCGAAGTGCCTCTGCTAACTGGAGCAGATTTATCACTGTTTTGTTTTTACTTGTGTTTGTTAATTTCAGAGTTGTTAACATACATACACAGGATACAAATTTAAACACAGAATATAGTATTTTCCTGCCTCCTGTGCAAATTATCTTTCTCTTTATTTGCCTTGTTAATCTTCTTCCACCTTTGATAAAAGACATTCTCTTCTTAAATCTTTCATGAGCACAGGAAGCCTCAAGCATTCTTCTGATGGATAGATTGGAGCCAAATTTCATTTTATTTATTTTTATTAGTATGGTTCCAAATCATAATATATTTAATTCATTGGTAGAAATACATTTCATATCTTGATTTTTTTTTCCTTGCAGGTCCTTCTGTCCCTAAACCCAATTCACAACACCACAAAGTCCATCTTCCTGCTTTCTATCATCTTTCTCTTACTTTGATCCTTAACTTATTTGTACTTTGAGTTTCTCCCACAGGAATACCAGGTGACATTTATTTATGTGATATTTATGTGTGTCTGATTTATTTTACCTAGCATTACAGACTCAAAGTGCATCCATTTTTCTATAAATCATTCAAATGTTTCCTTCTTTATGGTCAAATGTCACTCCACTGTGCCATTTTGCTTTTTAAAATTTCAGTAAGATACAATTTGCAGGTTATTTTATATGCACCAAGAGATAGATACAGCAGTACAAGATCAAGTCATGAAAATAGGCTTGACTTACCTTGAATAAGTTCTCACCCACTCCAAGCTGCAGTTCCCTTACCGATTTAAAATGGAAATTATGAATGAGGCACTGAAATATAAGTTGTAATCCCAGCACTCTTGGAGGCTGAGGCAGGTGGATCACAAGTTTTGCCCAGCCTAGGTATCTTACCAACTTAAGGAGAACTTGTCTCAAAGAGTAAAAAGATCTGGGGATGCAGCTCAGTGCAGAGTCCCTTGGTTCAATTTCTACTACTATAAAGAAAGAATTATGATACAAGACCTCACTTCCTGCGCTAGTTTAATATGAAGTGCAAGGTGTATTTCTTACTTTTCCAGGAAACACATATTATTCATCATGACAAGCACGGCCTCAGGATCTAGGAACTCAACAGTGAATGAGAAAGAAAGTGGAATCCACATCCTAAAACTGCACACCAAGTAGTTCTTTATCAAAAAACTGTGAAGAGCTATATAAACATCAGGTGATATTGTTATGTATTAGCAACTTACTGTCCTCTAGCTCTTGGCAGTGAAAGCTAATTAAGTTGCTTGTGCTAATGTACTTTCGCTGAAGCACATTTTTCTCTCCCACAGAGGCTCCAGGGCCACTAGCACTTTCTCTTCCAGGTTCTTTTCCTTACATCTATTAGGCAATCCACAAATGTAGGAATCAGCAAGCGATTCTTTTGCAAGCTTCTGTTGTTTGGTATTTGTTAGAACCCTGGAGAGCGCTTGAGGAATTAAGGCTCTTGCATTGCTGGGCTGGCCACCCTCCTCAACCCCAGCCTCCAGGAGGCCTAAGAGGTTTGAATTTTTTTTTTTTTTTTTTTTGCACGTTTCAAATAGCACACTTACATTTTTAGTGCATGAATCAGTGAAACAAGTGAGGGGAGACATTGTGGGGGTGAGAATAAAGCCTTCCATTATTCCTAGAGAGCACACCAGTCCCGGTCAGGTTCCATAGTGTGGAGTCACGCTTAGGCCGCACCTTCTCTGGGATTCGAGGGTTTCCCGAATTCCATAGGTTGTTATACAGCCGTCCCAGGGTCCTGTTCATCGTGACTTCTAAAATTGTAGGGCGGGTCTGAGGGTGCTTCTCTCTGTTCTACAGCTTCCCTGAGGGGGCTATCAATGACGCTAGGTAACATTTTTATTACCTACACTTCAGATCCCACAAAGTATAGCACATTTAAAGTGTATAATCCAATGATCTTTATAGTACATATTTACTAGATTGTCCTCCCTTTGTACTTTTTTATTTTTAGAGAAAGGGGAGCGCTCTCAGTACTCACATGTTAATCTAATATGCATGTGTTGAGCACCTAAAACATCAAATAAAAATCCCAGCCCTCCTGGAGTTTGCATTCTAGGGGAAACACAAGGGTGGACAAATGAAATAAGGAAATAAGTAAACCATAGAGTACATCAGAGGTGGTAAGTGGCTTGGAGAAAAAGACAGTAGGGAAAAGACAGGGTAGGAGGGACATCACAGCTTGAAATTGGGTGGCTGGGAAATATTAGAAAGTGACATGCACAGCAAAGATCACAAAGCATCAAGGGAGGGTGCCAGGCACTCATCCATGGAAAGAACAGTCAGGGGAAAAGGGAGAAATGTAATAAGCACAGAAACACAACTCCCGAGGTGCCAGGAATCTCCAGACACAGCCAAGAGGCCAGGGTGGCTGGAGTTTAGTACGTGACGAGGAGAATAGTGGCTAATGAAGTCAAAAAGCTCAGTGGGGTCCATCCAAGTAGAGTAGGGTCCTGAGTTGCCCCTAAAGACTGACTGACGTTCTTAGTAAGGCTGGAGCTCTGTAGGGCTGTGAGCAGAGGGTGCCATGAACTGATCGACTTTACTGGGGACGTGTTTGCAGTTGTGTGGACTGAGATGGGTGAAGGACGTGCAGTTGTGCAGTGGGCCAGGGTATGACCTGGCTGGGTGTGATGGTAAAGAAGATGAGAAAGGGTCTAATGCTGAGTAGGATATGAATGGAGAGTCAAGGGAGTTGGCTGGTGGAGAAGATGTCAGGAAAAAATAAGTCCTGGTTAGATGAAACTTTCAATGGTAACAGTCCGCTAGTGGGCCAGCTGTGTGGGGCCAGCAGGGGCCTCTGGCTTCTGCACAAAGCTCATAGGAAAGTTCCATATGTGGACCTAAAACCATGTAAATTGCTCTGGAGTTTCTCAAATGAATCAAAGACCAAAAAACAAAAACTACTTGTTATATCACACTATTTCCAAAATATAACTCAGTATTTAAGCATCAAGTTGCCAGGTAGATTATATGTATAATTTTACTTCTATTTTGAAATTAAGGCTTACTGCTTGTCTATCACCTTAATCGGGAAGTTAACAGTGATCCAGTGTTGCCTGGGCTTACTCTTTGTACCTAATTAGTTTGTAATAAACTCTTAATATATTAAACATTTTGATTTAAATTTACTGCATCAAGTACAGTCATTTTATTAGTACTTCAACAGTAATTTAGTAATTGATTTTTGTTAAGAACCTCTTCATAGCACCTTTTCTAAACATGGATTATAAGCTGGTTCTGGACCTCACTCATACCAGATCCTGCCTATGTCTTTCAAAATTTCTCACTCAGTGATACCACTTTAGTGGCTTTAAAATCAGCCATCATAGAAGGATTTATACCATAAATGTAATCCAAGCAGTGTAGGGTTATGCATGTCAGCTTTAGGCCACGCAGCATGGCCTGGGAAAAGGGGACCCATCTGCCCGGAGAGGAGTGTTTTATTATCATTAACATTATTCAAAATGTCTAATTAATAAGGGCAATAAAAGCAGACCAAATTTAAGTGTCTGGATCCTCTATAATGCTCCCCCTTAGCATCCGTGCCCAGGGCAGACCCTTCCCACGTATTCCCCATCTTTTTTCCAGGTCTGCCCACTGCCTTGTTCCGTGTTTATAACTTTCGGTATTTAAAGTATTAATTTTCTTCTCCATTCAAGGAAGATCACCAAACCTACCATGATGGCTTAGTATAAGCATTCAAGACAATATACAGAACGTAGTATAGTAGGCGCCAATCAACGGCATTGTTAGTAAATCTTTGATTTCCTTGAAGCCTGAAGAGAAGGGGCCCCTTTATGGATAAGCACCATTTTCACGTGTAAGGTGCTTTCTAACCCCCGGGCTGATGCTGACCCCTGCTCCCCAGTAACCCTTCTTCCTATTTCTACCTGTCTAAACTGTTCACTCTTCACGCTTGGACCAGCAGCTACCCCCTCTATGAGGCTTTCTTTTACTTCCATAGTTAACATCATCTTTCTTGTCTTTAAAATTCCTGGTCCTTTAGGGAGTCTAAAACAGCTCCCCCTACTGGTTTAGAATCTGAATTTTAACAAGATCCCAGGTGATTAGCATACACAGTAAAAGAAGCCCTGCTTCTAAACTGAAGGTTCTTGAGCCTGGTTGCCCCTTCGGAACTAGTAGAAGAGCTTTTTAAAAAGCTTCATAGCTCAACCCCAACCCAGAGAGATTCTGGTTCAGTTGGTCTGGGTGCAGCCTGCGTATCAGGATTTTCTAAAATCCCCAGATGATGCTAATATGCAGCAAAGTGTGAGGATCAAAGCTCTGCAGACTTTCCCATCCACTCTCTCCCGAGGCCTGAAAACTCTTGTGCTCTCTCACATGGGGAATATTTTTCTCTGTGCTTGTTTTTATATTCTTATGAAGCTGTAAGTCATTTAAGAGTGAAAACTGTTTCTTAATTCAATTTTTATCACCTTCTTCCTAACAAAGCTTAGCCGTACAATAGGAGTTTAATAAATACTTACTGAATGATTTATTTGTAATCTAAAAACCTTTCTCAACACCATAAATGTGGATGAAACCCAAATGTGAAGAATAGCTGGACATATCTCAAAATCGTGGAGTTGTTTCCTCTTCAGTTCTCAGGCCAAGTCCCTGAACACTTGGAGGCTGGTGGCAAGAAGGGCTTTTCAGGGACTAGAATCTCTGGGTGCCTGGGCAGAAGGGCACTGCTATCTCTGCAGGATGCTGATAGAAAGCCCAAGCTTGGAGTCCTGAGACTCAAGAACTCAGCACGGAATGCAGCCTCTCCTCTCCGCACAATGTTCCTGCATCCAACTCAGAACTCCAGGCTGCAACATGATGATGTTATTGTTTCTCTCTCCAGGGTGCCATTTGGATACTTACGGGGATTGTTGTTCTCACTATGAAGGCATCTGTTATTGAAATGTTCCTTGGTAAGTACTTTTATATGTGTATCTGGATACCCTTTTAACATTTTCCTGGTTCCAAAGAAACTGGCCAAGAAAAGTATTAAATCAAGACAGAGCACACAAACATTAACAGTGTATCTTTTTGTAATACACATTGTAGAGATCAGTTTAAGTGAGGATGCTAAGAATGGATCAAATTTAGGCTGATTTCCACAATGGTTGCCTCAGCCCTACGCTCCAGCGAGTGGAGAGGGGGTCCTTCTCCCCCACAGACCCACCAGCGTTTGTTATTGGCTACATTTATTTATTTATTATTTTGATGACAGCCATTCTTCCTGAAGTAAGATGGAATCTCAGTGTTGTTTAAAGTTGTGTCTCTCAAATGACGAGTGATATTGAACATTTTTTTCATGTATTTTATTTGCCATTTGTAATTCTTCATCTGAGAAGTGCCTGTTCACTTCAGATAGCCATTTTTGGGTTGGGTTTTTATATTTGGGAGTTCTGACTTTTTTGAGGTCTTCATATATTCTAAATATTAGTCCTTTGTTGGGAGAACAGCTGGGAAAACATTTTTCTCAATCCATGGTTTGCCTCTTCATTCTATTGGTAATTTGTTTTGCTGTGCAAAAGCCTTTTAATAAGATGAAATCCCAGCTGTGATATTTTCTGTGTGACTGGGGTTTTGTTCATAACATCTTTGCTTATATCTACATCTTCAAGAGTTCTACCTATTTTATCTTCCAGTAGATATAGTGTTTCTATTTAATATTTAGATCTTTTATCCATTTCAATTTTAATTTAGTGCACGGTGAGAAATAAGAGTCTAGTTTTAGTCTTTGGCATGTGGAAAATCAGTTTTTCTAATACCATCTATTAAATAATTTATCTTTCTTCGAGTAAAAGTGTTTTCAAAAACATCTTTGTCAAAAATAAGGTGGCTGAGTGTGTTTGGAGTTGTTTCTGCATCTTCTAGTCTGTTCCACTGATCCTGGGGTCTGTTTTATTACCAGTAACATACAGTTTTTATCATTATAGCTTTGTAGTATAATTTCAGGTCAGGAATTGTGATCCTCCTGCCTTGCTTTTATTGCCCAGAATTGATTTTGCTTTTCTAGTCTCTCCTGGTTCCAGATGAATTTTAAGACTGTTTTCTCTAATTCTGTGAGATATACTATTAGTATTTTGATTGGAGTTGCATTGAATCTGCATGACAGTTTAGGAGTATGGCCATTTTCACTGTTTGTTCTTCCTACCCAAGAACAAGGGATATCTTTCTATTGTCTGATTCCTCTTTTATATTATTTTAAAAATAGCAAAATCCAACAAAACAAGACAGAACAAAGCCAGTTAAAACAATGCAGCAAAATTGGTATAAAACTTCAAAGCAGGATATCAGGAAAACAACAATAGCTGCCATAATGTATCTTATCTTCACAGTAGTTGCCCATTCCACAGCAAAATCAAATCAAATCAAAAATAACAGACAATAAAAGCAATCAAAACAGAATATTGAATGAAGCAAAAACAATCAGAACAAAGCAAAACAATGAAAACAATATTTGATTTCAAAGACAAGATAGAAAGAAATCCTCCATATTTGCTATATTGTATACTGTCATCCTCCAAAGAGATGCTCAGACCGCTGGCCTGAGGCCCGCATAATTAACCAAACAATACAAGCACTTAGTTTCTTTATGTACCTTAGTTACTATCAACTCAGCCCGTGCTGGGAACCAGCCAATTGCTTGCAGGGCAGTGGGGGACCGCACAGACTGTGATTCTCAGCCCTCATTTCTGTACAGGCACAAGGAGGTGCTGTCTGACTTTCTCTCCCTGAAACCTGCGTGTTTTGTGTGGCTTACCAGAAAGACTGGCTTGCTGATTTCTTATTTGGTTCCCCAAGTCCCAGCATGGCCAATTCTTGAGAGATGCTGACTTTTCTCTCCCTGGACTGATATCCTCTTTGAGCTCTTCCAAGTACTGTAATTTTCAATGTAAGTCTTTTACCTCCTTTGTTAGATTAATTCATAAATATTTCATTTTTGTGGATGTTATTGTGTTTTCCTAATTTTTCTCGCAGTGAGTTTGTGTGAAGGAATGCCATTGATTTTTGGGTGTTTACATATTTGTATCCAGGTGTGCTACTGAATTTGATTATTAAATCTATAAAACTTTTGGTGAGGTCTTTGAGGTCTTCTATGTAGAATATCACGCCATCTACAAATAAACGATAATTTAGCTTCTTCCTTTCCTGTTGTTATTTCTTTTACTTCTTTCTCTTCCCTAATTGCTCTGGCTAATGTTTCCAGAAATATATTGAATAAGAATAGTGACAGGAGAAATCCTTGATTTGGCCCTGATTTTAGAGTAAAAGCTTTCAGTTTTTGACCATTTAGTATGATGTCAGCCGTTGGTTTGGCATACATGGCTTTTATCAGATTGAGATAACGACAATCTATTCCAATTTTCTGTAGGATTTTTGTCATGAATATTTGCTATACTTTGTCCAATGTGTTTCTGCATTTCTTGAGATGATCATATGGCTTGGCTCTGTTAATATTACGTTTATTGATTTGCATATGTTGAACCATCCCTGCATCCCTGGGATGAATCTTACTGTGACATGGTATATAATTTTCTTGATGATTTCCTGCATTCCGTTTGCCAGTTTCTTATTGAGGACTTTTGTGCATAGACTTTGGTTCTCCACTGATTTTGAAAGTTTTATGGGGTACCTCAATCTATGTTGGAAGTTGTTTTCTTTTAGGGCTTGAAATACTTCACTCCGCACTTTCCTTGACTTAAGTCTACCTTAATTCTGATGGGCTTTCCTGTATAAGTGACTTATTTCTTTTCTCTAATAGGTTTTAATATTTTGTTCTTGTGTTGAATTTATGAAATCCTAATTACTATATGCCTTAGGTAGATTTTTTTTGACCATGGATAATTGGAATTCTATACATCTTATCTACCTGTATGTCAAATTCCTTTTCCACGTTTGGGAAGTTTTTTGCCATTACTCTCTGAGCAGGTTCTTCATGTTATTTGCACTATCTCCTGTTTTCTCATTGACTAGGATCAATCCTATTATTCCTTTCACATCACCTAGCAGCTGTTGGATTGATTTTTTGTGATCTCTTGTTATTTTTAAGAAACTTTCCTTCTCATGATCACTAACTGCAATCCCGTCTTCTAGATCTGATATTTTATCCTCACATTGGCATATAAGGCTGCATATATATCTGATTGAATAATGTATTCTATTTCTTTTCTCCATTGGACATTCATGGTTTTCATCATTTTTCTAAGCTCTTCTTTTTTTTTTTGTCAGTAGCTTTTTAGATTCACTAGTCATTCCTTTCATTATGGTCATCATCTCTGAATTTATCTGAGAAATTATTTCTGATTTGAATTTTTTTCTAGAGCCCTATTAATCTGATTAATTATCACATCAGAGAGTCTGAGTGGGTAGCTTTCAAATTGCTTCACCTCATTGTCCCCGGGTTTACCTTTGGTGAGCTAGAAGTCTGAGTTTGCATCTTGTTTAAGTATCTTCTCATTTTCTGTTTTTTTAGTATAATTCCTGCATTAATGCTTGAAATTGTTCATGATGGGTACTTTTATTTCTAGTATCAAGAACTTTTAGGAGACAACTGCTTCTCAGAGATGCCTTTCAGGTATAGCTGATCCTACTACTTCAATTTATTGGAATGAGAAATTACCTAACCCCCAGTTCTTTGGCAATGACCCATAGCACTGTTTATGACTCTCAAGCAATCTCAGTCTTGGCCTGTAAAGAAGAATAATTATATTACTTTGGCTACAGTAGTACAATCAGTAATAACAACAGCATCAAATGAAATCTAGAAAATGACAAACTGTGGTAGCTATTAATTTGCTAACTTTAACCATATCAACAAGATTTTTAATCATAAAACAAAATCTAAAACAAGCCAGAGAATTTTACATGGTAACTATCCTCTCAATATACAATTTTACCCCTGGGGGGTAAATTTAAAAGGGGGTGGGGGAAAATAGAGGAAAAAAAAAAGAGAAAAGGATTAGAAGCCAGAATGGAGAAAAAGAAGATCATGCAGCTTTGGGAACTGGTAAAGAAGATGGGAAATAAAAAAGGAAAAAACAGAACAAAATAACTACAACAAAACTAGGAACAATGTTCTCATATAAAAACAAGAGCAAACAAGAAAAATAAAAAGTAATTTAAAAAGTAAAGAAAAGAATAAAAGCAGAAGAACATGTGCATGTCAGGGCATGTCTCTACTGTCACTGGCTGAGGGGGCGGACGAAGACCAGGTCCATGTTGATTGATCCCAGCAAGCCAGCAGTAGAATTACGGTGATGGTGGATAATCCCATCAAACCTGGGCCTTTTGCACTGAAGTTCAGATTGCTTCTGCTTTCTGGCCAGGAGACTGAGACCTGAGTTTTTCAGCCCACAATACTCTATATGCCTCCTGCTGGCTTGAATTTGTCACCCTGACCTCGTGCCCGCTTGAACTCAGTTGTGCCTCACCTTGACACTTGGGCCCACTAGATGGAGCCAGCCCACAGCTGCTCTGAGTTCCTAATTCAATGGATCCCTTTTCAAAATGGCTGCTTGCCAATCGCCATCTACTGGGGAGCGTCTGAATCCAAATAACTCACCAATCACTGCAGTCCACAGCATCCATCTCTCTGTTCCATTTGGTACATTTCTCTGTGGAGGCTTCTAAGGTCACCAGCAGAATGCAAAAAGGCCATTTGAACACTGGAAAAATGAGTGGCCAAGGTGGGTCCTGAGGAGTGTCAGCATCATCACACTTGCTAACTGCATTGGACAACAAGGATTACTTTCCTCAAGTATAGAACCATGGAGGAGGGGTGCTTATGCCACTGTCAGTAGGAAGATCTTGTCCTCTAACAAAATAAAATAATTAGGATTTAGGAGCTCTACGTCCCCATTCTCATCAGTATCCTCCCAAACATCTCCACCGCAATTTATGGGATCCCATCTTTTCTAAT